CCCTGGATGGGCTCTCAGAGCCTCAAGCTGCTGCCAGCTCTGGGTCTGCACAGGTCTGGAATGGCTCAGGGCTGGCATGCTTCAGAGCATTACTCATCACCCTTATTCCTCCCATCACTGGGCTCCCCAGCATCGGAGTTACACACTGCAGCTGCACCTACCAAGCCTTTCAGCCAAGATGTAGAGGGGCTGTGGCATGGGTGACAGACTTAGCTCTCTGTATGTGACTTCTGGGGCCAACGGGAGAATAGTGGGTCCTAAATATGGATGGTGGACAGGCTGCCAGTGTGAGGGGTCATGTGATAGCCCCTCAGAGAGCGGGTAACAGATGGATATTTAGAGTGTGGTGGGTGGGTTCACAGGGTTAATGATGATAAGCCTGTATGGGGTATGGGTGTAAGATCTCCTGGTGGGGGTAATGTGGGGCCACTAGTCCCACCCCAGGGAGTAGGATACTTGGGGAAATGAAAGACGGTACCCAGGAGCTGGGGACAGGAAAGCTCTCAGCGGTAGGTGACAGGTTGCCGGGGGAATGGGTGGCAGATCCTATAGGCCAGGATGACAGACCATGGTTGATGGGTCTCCCAGGTGTGGATAATATATTTCTCAGATAGTGGTTGAAGGCTCCTCAGTGGAATGAGTGATGGGTACTCATTTGAGCTGGGAAGGATGAACCCCCAAGAATGTTAACCAGGGGTGATAGTAAAAATAGTACATGTGGCCCTAGTGGGCTTGGCTCAGTGGATAGAGCATCAGCCTGTGGACTGAAGGGTTCCAGGTTCGATTCTGACCAAGGGCACATGCCTGGGTTGCAGGCTCCATCCCCAGTAGGGGGTGTGCAGGAGGCAGCCGATCAATGATTCTCTCTCATCATTGATGTTTCTATCTCTCTTTCCTCCCTTCCTCTCTGAAATCAATAAAGAAATATATATTTAAAAAAAATAGTACATGTGCACTGACCAATTGGAGCTGACACTGACCACAGTGCTACGGTGGAGCCCTGCAGGCCCAGGTGTTAACCCTTTAGTTGCTGGGTGGTGGGGTGGTCAGGGGCTCTGGAGAGGAGTTGCAATGGCAGGTCAGTGGGCAGCAGCTATTTGCTATGGAAGCAGTACCCGAATGCCGGTACAGTTCCCGAAAGCGTGCACCCTGCCTGAACATCAACTCTGGTGGTAGCTCTTTGCAGGGCATGGGTGGTGGTAACTCACAGCAGAGCTGGCACCAACCTTTGTTGCTCCCTAGATCCAGAGCATCACAGATGAATCCCGTGGCTCAATCCGGAGAAAGAATCCAGCCAACACTCGGCTCCGCCTCAACGTCCCAGAAGAGACAGCTGGTGACAGTGAGGAGAAGCCCGAAGAGGAGGTATACCACTGGGGTGGTTTGGCCCCATCCAGTGTGAGCAGAACCTCTGGCCTCCAAAGGAGTCATGTGCTATCCCTTTGTTCATCCCTCAGGTGCAGCTGATCCATGACCAGAGTGCTCCCAGCTGCCCCAGCAGCACACCATCCCCGGGGGAGGAGCCTGAGGGGGAGGGAGAGGCAGATCCCGATAAGGTGCATCTCACCTGGACCAAGGACAAGTCCGTGGCAGAGAAGAATAAGGGCCCCAGTCCTGTCTCGTCCGAGGGCATCAAGGACTTCTTCAGCATGAAGCCGTATGGGCCTGGGGGCTAAGGGCTGGGGTGAACCTACAGGGTCTGTGCTCCCCATGGCAGAGCAGCATGCAGCGTGGGTCCTGGGCTGGCAGTTGGAAGACCCAGCCCACACCTTGTCTTGGTTTCCCCATCTGAGGATTCGGGGGTCGGGCCTGATTGCTGAGGGTCAGAACTCCCAGGGGCGGGCAGTGGAAAGGTGAAGGCTGGGAGAGCAGGACCAGGGTGCAGTCAGGGTGGGTGATGGTGGCTCAAGTCCCTGGCCTCCCCTGCTTTGTCTGACCCCTCTCTTTTCTTCCTCTTTGCTTCTCTTGTGTTTCCTGAAGGGAGTGGGAGAACTTGTAAGTGCTTCAGAATTTTTTATTCTCTTTGCTGCGTTGGCCAGAGTCCCTACTCTCCTCACTATGTCATGACCCCTCAACTCATGCCCCTGACCTCTGGGCTCTCCGAAGAGCCCAGGTTGGAGGGGTCTGGGGTTGGTGGTTCCTGATTGCAAGAACTGGGGCCCAGCAGCCCAGTGGCCTGGATCCAGCTCTCCCCTCTTCAGGCTCAGGGTGCCCTCCTCCCACCTCCCTCCCGCAGGAACCAGTCCAATGTGCGGCGCATGCACACGGCCGTGCGGCTGAACGAGGTCATTGTGAAGAAATCCCGGGACGCCAAGCTTGTGTTGCTCAACATGCCTGGGCCTCCCCGCAACCGCAACGGTGATGAAAATTGTATCCTGGACTTTAAACTGGGGGCGGGGAGAGGGAGGTGGACGTCAGGGAACCTGGGTCCTGGCCCTGGGACGGAAGACGGAGTCGGTCCTGCTTCAGGATCAGCACCTCGGTCAGGGCGGAGGCCCACGGTGTCCAATTCCATCCGGAGGAGGCGAGGGGTCGGGTCTTTCTCCTTGACCGGCGCTCAGACATGGAGTTCCTCGAGGTCCTCACCGAGCACCTGGATCGGGTGATGCTGGTCCGCGGCGGCGGCCGCGAAGTCATCACTATCTACTCCTGAGAGCCGGGACCTGCCCCGGGCCCAGCGC